GTGTGAATAATGTCGAGTGGATAATGAGAAAAAAGCAAGTGAGTGCAAAGGGTTAAAAAAAAAAGGTATTTCATAAATATGGGGATTTTGGTGTTTATACAAGCAAGATAAGTAGAACAAATGAAGATAGCAAACCTAAACCCAGAGTTAGTGTCTTTTTTAGTGAAGAATGATTACTGCCTTCTCCATCACAGAAGAGCTCAGAGCCTGCAATCTGCTATCAAGTAGTTAGCAGCTCTTCCTGGAGCGGTTCTATATCAGGGGCTCAGAGTTGGTTGCAGCTGCTGGCAAACTGGCATCCTGCAAGGGTGGAAGCAAGGTCATCATCAATGAGAAAAAGTTAATGTGTGGAGCTCATTTCCTGCTGCCATGTACTTTGTTCTTGTGCCCATTGAGCAATCACTGCAGTGGCTGAGGAAGGGCAGACCATCCTGCTCCCAGTACGAGCCTTTCACTGAGCACTCTCATGGAACACAACGTTATACTCCGTCTGGGCTCATTTTAATAAGCCCATTTCTACATGTCTCTTCCCTAGACATCTTTGTCACCAGTCCTCCAATATTTCTTCTTTCTGGTTCCTATCCATCTGGCTAAACTTGTAGTCACTGCCTATCAGGCTGTCTTTCCAAAGCCAAAGCGGACCATTGATGATACTGCTTAAAGTTCTGCCCACTAGGAGGAAGTTTCTGCGATTCTGTCTTTTCAGACCTCACCCCTTAGAATGGATATAATGCTGTCATAGTGTACTTATGACTCATGACAGTTGAAGGTGATTTGGAACTAGGCATTCAAGGTACTTTGAGCTTTCTGCATCCTTCTGTATATTTTGTATGTATATGATTTGGTTCTTTGAACCTTACTCTTTCATCTAAGTGACTTAGTGAGACCCTAAATTCAAACATGTAATGATTCATCATTCTTTGCATTTTTTTTTCTGTCTTAGCCTGGCAAATGCAAGAGATTCAGGATACTTTTTTGATGGACATAGAAAGTCCTTGAGTTTCAATCTTAGCTTGAAATCAAGAATTTATAGATAGAACATGTAATTCTTTGTTTCCATCCCTTTTTCTGGTTCTTGACTCGTCTCATTATTTCTGTGAGCTCTTTGATATCTTTTCAATAAATTCTTTTTCCAACCAGGGTTGGTTTCTTGTGCTTGCAACCAAGAACTCGGGCAATTAAAGACATTGATATTAGGAGAGAAATGTAGGAAACAGAACCTCAGGAACCTGTGAAAATCATAAGTGAGTTAGATGGGTTAGAAGTATCTTGGGTCCCCTTAATTTTCAAAATATTAATTAATTTTTAAAATGACTATTACCTGTGGTCACAAGAATAAAGTTCTTTTTGTTTAAGCTAAACAACATTGTTATAAGTAGCCACCCGGTACCCACAGTGTTGAATTCCTGTGTCCTTCAAATTTCAAAGGTGGTGATGATAGGTCCCCGTATCTTCACTGGGAACTTTATTCTAGTGAACACAAGTAATAATTTAATCATTTTGAAAATTAGTGAGACCTGAGTCTGTAATTGTCTGGGTTCTTGGTTGCAACCAAAAGAAACCAACTCTGAATGGAAAAGGAATTTACTGGTGGGATATCGAAGAGCTCTCTGAAACAGCCAGAGACTTGAATGACCTAAAGAAGGGATGTGGGCCAGGCGCAGTGGCTCACACCTGTAACCCTACCATTCTGGGAGGCCAAGGCAGGAGGATCGCTTGAGGTCAGGAGTTCGAGACCAGCCTGAGCAAGAATAAGACCCCCGTCTCTACTAAAAATAGCAAAAAAAAAAAAAAAATAATAATAATAATAATAATAGCTGGACAACTACAAATAGAAAAAAAAAATGAGTTGGGCATAGTGGCATGCACCTGTAGTCCCAGCTACTCAGGAGGCTGAGGCAAGAGGATTGCTTGAACCCAGGAGTTTGAGGTTGCTGTGAGCCAGGCTGACGCCAGGGTAACAAAGTGAGGCTCTGTCTAAAAAAAGAAAAAGAAAAACAAAGAGGTGTGAACCAAGGCAACTCTGGAGAGCCAGGAAACCCAACCTTCATCTTGTATCAGAATTAGTTTGGCCAAGATGCCAAACTTAACACTGTTCTTACAGGACACCATTTCCACTGGACACTGCTGCTGCCACAAGAAACCACTCTAGTTGCCCTGAATGAATCCTAAGTGCCCCTTTGTCTATGTTTCATTCTCTTCACATTCAAAGTCTTGAAATGAGGCAGAATTTAAGTCATATATTGTGTATTGGCTTTTGGTTCTCACGGAGCAAGAGGGATCTTCTGTAAAGAGAGGCCAGGCATTGTGTAGTAAGAGACTGGTCACTTCTACGGTAAGATTGTAGTTCTTAGTCCCACTTACAGGCAGTGTGCAATTCTTCTTTCCAATGTGTATGGTTTTTCTTTCTTTTTCTTGCTTTATGGCATTCACTGGGACCTCCAATACAACGTCAGCTAGTATAGGTGAAATGAACACCCTTGTCTTCTTCCTGATCCAAGGGAAAGCATTAGTCTTTCACCATTAAGTTTGGTATTCTCTCTAGGATTTTCTTAGAAGCCTTTAATCAAGTTGAGGAAGTCACTGTCAATTACTCCTGTGTTGGGAGCGTTTCTTATGAGTGAATGTTGAAATTTTGTTGAAATGCTTTTTCTTCATCTATTGGGATGATTATATGTGTTCATTGTCAATATGGTGAATTATATTGATTGATTTTTGAATGTTGGCCAAATCATGCATTATTTGGTCATAATGTATTTTTATATATTACTGAATTCTGCTTGTCAATACTTCGTAAGAATTTTAAATCTGTATTCATGAGAGATATATGAATCCCTTGACTTTGGTATCAAAGTAATATTGGCTTCATGAAACCAGTTAGAAAGTATTCCATCCTCCTCTATATTCTAGAAGATTTTGTATAGAATTGGTAATAATTCTCTCTTAAATAATTAGTAGAATTCATTAGTGAAACCCTCTGGGCCTGGAGTTTTCTTTGTGGGAAGGTTTTAAACTATGAATTCAATTTCTTTGATAGATATAGGAGTATTCAGTATTTGATTTTTTTTCTTGAATAATCCTAGACAGTTTGTGTCTTTCAAGGAATTTGTCTGTTTCATCCAAGATGTTGAATTTATTGGCTTATAGTTATTCATAATTCCCTTATGATCCTTTTAATGCTTACAGGATGTATAATGATATCCCCCTCTCATTCCTGATATTGGTAATTTGTGTCTTTCTCTCCTTGTTTCTCTTGATCAGTCTGGCTAGAAATTTATCTATTTTATTCTCTTTTCAAAGAATAAGTCTTTGGGTGTATTGGTTTTCTTAATTGTTCATTTTCCATCCTTTTTTTTTTTCCTTTCTTGTACTTACCTAGGATCTAATTTGTTCTTCATTTTTCAGCTTTTTCAGGTAGGTAGAAGCTTAGGTTAGTGATTTGACACTTTTGTTCTTTTCTAATGTAAGCATTAAATGCTATAAATTACCCTTGAAATACTGCTTTAGCTGTTTCTCATAAATACTGATATGTTTTCATTCAGTTAAAAATATTTTCTAATTTTTTTTTCATTTCTTCTTTAGTTCATAGATTGTTTAATTTCCAAATATTTGGCAATTTTCCAGATAGCTTTCTGTTAATATTGTTCCCCATATTTTTGCTATCCTTGGCTTTTTGATATGTGTTTTGGGAGATCACCACTTGTTTGAGAAGGCACTGATTTGAGCCCACATTGTATGTAAAGAACTCATAGGTCAATCTGCAGGCTACCTAGAGTATAGGCTGGTGGGAAGGTGTAGGGGTAGACAGTGAGCTGGTCTCTCTTGGCTGGTGTGTGAGAAATGGAACCAGCGCTGCTGCCATGACTGCTTCATTCTAGTAGCAAGGCTGGGTTTTGGAATTTGTTAAAACTCTACATATGAGGCAACCACATCCCCTATGCCCCTTTACCACTGTACACCTAAGAACTCTGGTAGTCAGGCATCTATCCTTACACAGGAAACAGAATCCTTTTCACAGAAATCAAATGGCTCCAGAGAAGGCCCTAATACCAGAGCTAAATTCCTTGCAAGAAGTGCTAAGGGTAGATTCCTAGATAACCCTGATAGACAAGTAGACTTTACAGCTTTGTTCTCTGTAACACCTTCTACAAAGCAGCTACTTCAAAGGCCCACATTTCCTATCAGCTATCTGTATTCAGCACACAACTTCAGACTTGTAGTCTGTGAGTGACATGACAATGCTTATAAGAAAGAGAGCTATCAATTTTAATATATGTGTGGGTGACCCACAGATAATGAGATCTGCCCTCTAAATGACAGAACCCTACTTATAATATCAAGACTGTCCTATTAAATACAATCTTATTTTTAATGGGCAGATGCCCTAAAATGTGAATTGGTGATTGGATTACAGATAATTTTAATTTTCTTCTTGGTGGATTTCTGTGTTTTCTAACTTCTCCATAGTGAACATGTATTATGTCTGTATTCAGATAAAATATTTTTAAATTTTAAAAGTAAAAACTAGAAGAATTGTGAAATAAATAAGAACACCAGATCTAATCTAGTGAGCATGAATTTAAGGTATAGGCATTCTGAAACTAATGTTTTAACAGCAAACTGGGTTGATCAGAATTATCTGTAAAGGTATTTGCAAAAGAAAGCATAGATGCAGGCCTTTAATAATATCAATTTTGACTTGTCCATGAAGAACAATTGTAGGAGTCCTAAGAAAAGCCTTCTGACTCTATTCCTCAGATCAGAATTCCTATAAAAAGTTAAAATTATGCTGTAGTCTTGGATTTAGAAGGACAAGAATATCATTGTCTCTTTTGCTTGCTCCCCTCCCCTGCATCCCATTCCCTGGTGATCATATTCCTCTGGTGGCAGGGCAGGAGATTTTAAAGACTTTTCCTAATACCTTACTTTTAGAGAGGAGACAGGTGCCTATGTTTCATTTGTTCACTAACCCAGTTGTTCTCTCTCTGTTCTGCTCATAGGCAGCTGGCTAAGAGTCTTGGGCAAGCTGGTGAAATTGAGCCTGAAACAGAAGGAATACTAACAGAGTATGGTGTGGATTTCTCTGATTTTTCTTCAGAAGTTCTAGAATGTCTCCCTCAAGGCCTGCCATGGACAATTCCACCAGATGAGTTCAGCAAGAGAAAGGATTTAAGGTAAACACCTGGAACTCTTCAAGAACAACATGTTTCTACCTTTCTGCCTTCTAACTTAACTTTCCTAGGGGCTGGGCTTGGATATTTCCATCTTTCTACCAATATTCAAGTTCAGTGCAGTTGAGAATTAAGTGCTTCTGTACCAGAGGTCGGAAAATTATGACCCACAAGCTAAATCTAGCCTGTTCCCTGTTTATGTACAGCCCATGATGTAAGAATGGTTTTTACATTTTTAAATGGTTGAAAAAAATTAAAATAAGAATAATTTTTATGAAAATTATGTGAAATTCAAATTTTGGTATCCATAAAGTTTCATTGGAACACAGCCATGCTTATTCACTTATACATTGTCTATAGCTGTTTTTGGACTACAATAGCGGAGTAGAGTAGTTGCAACAGAGACCATATGGCCTGCAAAGCCTGAAATGTTTACTTTCTGCCTTGTACAGAAAAATTTTGCTGACACCTGTTGTAGATCATTCTAGTTTCAAAAGGTATGGTTGCCATCGTCTTTTCTCATTGCTGCACCACATAGTTCTGGTCAAATAAAGACAACGTTATCTGGTTAGAAGTGCCTTCCTTTAAGTGGGCCTCTTCAGGCACAGAGCAAAGGATTCAAGACTTCTGTACTTGGAGCCTCATTTTAAAGCTTTACTTTTAGGTCTGGAATTTGTTGGAAAGTACTTTTGTGGTATTTTTATAACAACATCTTCTTTGAAGATGTTTCTTCATTGTGGGATGTTAGTTCTTTTCTGATATTTCTCTTCAGAATTTGGTTTCAGTACTGGCATTCATTTTGGATGCCACATGGAGATATTTAGAACCAAGAAACTTTTCATACAACCCACTGAGGCTGTGGAAGGTTTTTGCTAAGGTCATCCCATGTCAGAGTCTTTTCCACCACACTTGCTTGCTTCATGCAGCTGAACTTATGATACCTTCAGTTCTTGGTGCCCGTTGCTCCACCTAGTTTGTGACTACTCCTACTCTGCTCCCCCTTGGTATTGTATGCTTGAGGAATTTATTACTGCCTTTTTTTCTTTTCCTGCCATGGGTAGGCAAGGAAAAGGAGACGATTAATCCTCTTTCTTACTTGTGAGTATCTCTAATGGAACACACGTTATATTTGAAGTCATTTAACCCAAGTTGCAGTCCTGGATTTTAGTTGTATTGCCTCCTTCACTGAACTCCTGCTGGTGCGTGGGTGCCTTATCTCTTCAGAAGCTCCGGGATCTTGGGCCCATAACCTTAACCTCTGTGAACCTTTGTTTTCTCATATCCAGATTGAGGGGTTTGTTTTCTGAGATCTTTTCCTGAATCTAGGAATCTGTAAAAATATTTAATGAGAAAAAAAGACCAGAATGAATGACTTACCCTTATTATTTGAAGTATTATATCGTATAACTACCTTACATTACCTATCAAAATTGTAAATGTGTCTACCGTTTCACCCAAAAACTCTATTCAGGAATCTGTCCTACTCCAAGAAGTATACAAGGATATATGTACAAGAATGTTTATTGCTACTTTATTGTAAAAATGAAACATCAGAGACACTGCTAGTGTCCATCAGTAAAGGAATGGTTTAATAATCTGTGTTAAAGCAATATTATAGCATTCCCTACAGCTCTGCAAAAAGGAGCTATATTCACCTGGAGTGTCCTAGATGGATGGCCATGATATTTTATTAAGTGAAAGAAGCAAGTTTCAGAATAATATGAATATGAGCCTATTTTTTATGAAGTAAAATAATATAAAAACTATATAAATGAACATATATACATATATGTGTATACATATATAGAGATACATTAAAAATATATACATGGAAAAAGGTCTGGAAGGAAATAAACTGTTGACAGTGATTATCATGGGGAGTGGATTCAGTGGATTAGTAAGGAAGTAGGGAAGCAAAATTGTACTTTTCATTTTGTATACTGCCATATTAAAATTATTTTTTTAATAACTTTTTTTTTTTTTGAGACAGAGTCTCACTGTGTTGCCTGGGCTAGAGTGCCATGGCATCCCTGTAGCTCAAAGTAACATCAAACTCCTGGGCTCAAGCAATCCTTCTGCCTCAGCCTCCCAAGTAGCCAGGACTATAGGCATGTGCCACCATGCCCGGCTAATTTTTTCTATATATTTTAGTTGGCCAGTAGTTTCTATTTTTAGTAGAGATGGGGTCTCACTCTTGCTCAGACTGGTTTCGAACTCTTGACCTTTAGCAATCCTCCTGCCTCAGCCTCCCAGAGTGCTAGGATTACAGGCATGATCCACGTGCCTAGCCTTAAAATAACTTTTTTTTGAAACAGAGTCTCACTTTGTTGCCTGGGCTAGAGTGCCCTGGCGTCAGCCTAGCTCACAGCAACCTCAAACTCCTGGGCTCAAGTGATCCTTCTGCCTCAACCTCCTGAGTAGCTGGGACTATAGGCATTTGCTGCCACGCCCAGCTAATTTTTTCTATATATTTTTAGTTGGCCAATTCATTTATTTCTATATATAGTAGAGACGTGGTCTCGCTCTTGCTCAGGCTGGTTTCTGAATCCTGACCTTGACGGTGGACGATCTGCCCACCTCGGCCTCTCAGAGTACTAGGATTACACCACCGCGCCCAGCCCATAACTTTTAAAAATTATAAATGTGAATGTCAGAAAGTAGAGGCACTCTATCTTTTCCAGCATGACTTTCAGCCTGCAGATAAGTAATGTTAACAGTTATGGGGCCCAGTATTGCTCCAACTTCCCCTTTCATGGCTCTACCTTGCCATTTCTTTGGTCTTCATTGCCTTCTAGGTTAGATCCAGAATAAGAGGCCTTGCTTGGAAGAAAGACTTTGTTAAAATATATCTTTATTTTATATGTTTGTGCCCTGTGAAAGGATCCAAAAGATAAAGCTTCTGGGATGCTTTCTGCTATTGGCATAGTAACAGGGATTTTTTTTTTTAATTTTCTTTAGTATCCAAACCCTTTATCCATCCCTACTGTCCTCAGGATTATGTTTCTAAAATTCAAATCTAATTTTTTTAATCCTTTGCATTTAAAATTTTTCAACTGCTTCCTGATGCCTGAAGTAGTAATATCTAAGCTTCATTAAACATGCATTCCCAGTAATGCATATGTCTTTATTTTAAAATTATAAATGAATTTACTACTTTAATAATCTATTATATACATTATAAAAATAAAGTAGAAAAATAAAAAAGAAATGAGAATGAAATAAATTTTTAAATATTTTAATTTTACTTGCAAAAGGTATAGAAAATCATTTGTTTATATAATAATTTTTCTTTTGTAAAAGCAATGTGATTGGGTATTCTTTATCATATTTATTTAAATTTTGCTTTAACAACTTGTGATATAGAAATTCAGAGGTCTGACTAAGTTTTGTGTGTTTTGATGTTTGGTTTTAGTGGGGATCATAAGTGAAAAGGACATATATCTTTAGAAGATGTGAGCTGAGCTTACTAAATCATAATACTCATTTCTCAGTACTTTGCACCAATTATATTCCAATTCATTTTGAAATACATCTAATAAATATCCATCCTTCCTCATATCAGTCAGTTCATATGGACTCCTTGAACGACGCTGCATTTTCAGGTTTTTAAAAAATGAGGTTATAATCCTTTGTTACTCTTCAGTTGGTATCTTTAAAAACTAGTTAGAAAATTCTGTTGGAAGTTTAAATGTATACATGTGAGTGATTTTGTAGTTTATACACTTATTTTAGGCCCCAAGTCATATAACAGGGAAGCATTTTAAAACATCCATTTAAAAAATGTTATTTTCAAAACATGAATATGTTGTTTTGTTTTCAATATTCAATAACTTTTTTTCTCATTATTAAAATGCCATCTTTACTTTTAAGGGATAATTTAAGGGTATTTATTTTTTCTAAAGTACCTGCTTAGTAGCATGTGATTGACAGCCATTGTTTTGAAATCCTAATGTGGCTGGGGATGAATTCATATCAGGAGCAGAGGAAATGCCATTATTGCAATTTTTCTGGTGTTAGTAGTATTACTAGTAGTTTTAGTATTATTTTCAATCTGTGGATTTTTACAATAATCTTTTTTAGCCATATGCCCATTTTATAAGGATTAATGTAGCTAAAAGTAGATAATATTCATAAATCCATGTAACTGGGCATGGGTAAATGCCCATTAATTGCATTTGGCTGAAAGCATAGGAACCAACAAAAGTGCCAGTGTCATTACTTTTGTGTTCTAGAATGCTGGCTATTTCATCTGTAGACCTCACTTACCACCTGACTCACGTACCTAGTGTAGGTGTCAGAGTTAATTCATGTATTTTTGTAGTGTCAATTAATTTCTTATTTTTTACAGTAAAAAATACACATAAATAGAAGCCTATAAGTATGTGGAAATATTTAGATCTAATTACCTTTTCCTTTTCTTGGACGGGTCTTGTGATAGATTTATTCAGTTATTCAGCCAACAAATATTCATTGAACACCATCCACGGGCACTGAGGATGCAACACTGAACAAAAATAGATGTGTTCTCTGCCCTTATGGAATTCTCAGTCTTGTGGCAGAAGAGTATGAATCAAATTATTAAGCCATAGGCAGATATGGAATTTTAATAAAGGAGAGAGGTAGTTGGTACAAGTGTTTGTGATTGTGTAGTTTCTTGTGCTCTGAGGTCCAGTGCCTTCAAAGAGGTTTTTTTATATCATCAATATTCATTTTCCTAGGAACATCAAAAGAACTATTATATGGGGGAGTAGGGGATGGGTAAATTCACACCTAATGGGTATAATGCACGCCGTCTGGGTGATGGACACTTACGACTTTGACTCATACTGTACAGAAGTATTTCATGTAATCAAAACAGGTATACCCCATTATATTCTGAAATTTAAAAGAGAACTATCATCATTTTGAATCTCAGTGCATGCTGAAAAATATATGCTATGTTTAATAAATTTGTACATATTCTGTAAACTAATAAAATCAAACCTCCTTCAAACATTTACTTA